TTCTCAGACTAACTTATTTTGCTTAGCATAATACTCTCTAGCTCCAGCCACATCATTGCAAATGGCAAGATTTCATTCTTTTTTATGGCTGAATAATATTCCATTATATATATATATGTGTGTGTGATATGTATATATGTTATATATATAATATTCCATTATGTGTGTGTGTGTGTGTGGTGACAATTTCTTTATCCATTCATCAGTCGATGGACATTTGGGCTCTTTCCATAATTTGGCTATTGTTGATAATGCTACTATAAATATAGGATGAAGCCCAAAGCCAGCAGAAGCAGGGAAATAATAAAGATTAGAGCAGAAATAAATGATATAGAAAGAAACAAACAAAACCCCCCACAGTAAAATAGATCAATGAAACCAGGAGCTGGTGCTTTGAAAAAATTAATAAAATTGATAAACCCCTAGTCAGACTCATCAAAAAGAAAAGAGAAAGGACCCAAATAAATAAAATCACGAATGAGAGAGGAGAGATCACAACCAGCACCACAGAAATACAAACAGTTGTAAGAGAATATTATGAAAAATTATATGCCAAAAAATTGGGCAATCTGGAAGAAATGGATAAGTTCCTAGAAACATATAAACTACCAAAACTGAAACAGGAAGAACTAGAACACTTGAACAGACCAGCAAAGAAATTCAATCAGTTATAAAAAATGTCCCAACAAATGAAAGTCCAGGACCAGATGGCTTCCCAGGGGAATTCTACCAAACATTTAAAGAGGAGTTAATAATATCCTCCTTACCACAGTGCACATTTACCTTGGTAAATAGACACAGGTTTTTGGGAAAGGCTTGGCTGGGTTTTTCTGACCTCCACCTTAATCAAGGCTCTGGGCCCATGGGCTGACTTAGACCTCGACACTTGGTGGGGGACTAATGTTTTCCACTACGGTTGCTAGCATCAGCTTTCTGCTTTCCAGCTCTCTTTTTTTTTTTCCTTACGAGAATCAAGTAATACCCCAGCCAGCTGTCCATACATCCAGACCCTAGAATACTACTACCTACTATCTATACTATCTATATTGCCACAGATTCCGGTCAGTCAGATGAGACTGGCTCCACCCTGGCCTTGCTGCCCGGTATGGTAATGATGCCCACCTTGCCCCTGGTAGTTTTGTGCCACCATTGGGACCCTGCCTTTTGAGAATCCTGTCATCTCCACTGATTGCCAGTTCCATGCCGTCACCGCTTGCTTCCAACAACGGTTTGCAGAGGAGAGTCAGCACTGAGCTCCTCAAAGATGCCAGTGCCACTTCACCAGCAACATTCCTTATTTGAGTCGTGATTTCTCTGCCCTCCAAAGAAACAGAGGCTGGAGGTAGGACTCTGATCTCACATTATAAGTCATATCTAAGGGGCGCCTGGGTGGCTCAGTTGGTTAAGTGACTGCCTTCGGCTCAGGTCATGATCCTGGAGTCCCGGGATCGAGTCCCGCATCGGGCTCCCTGCTCGGCGGGGAGTCTGCTTCTCCCTCTGACCCTCCTCCCTCTCATGCTCTCTGTCTCTCATTCTCTCTCTCTCAAATAAATAAATAAAATCTTTAAAAAAAGAAAAGAAACAGAGGCTGGAGGCAGGACGTCTGATCTCACATTATAAGTCATATCTAAAAACCTACTCCCCTGGACCTTCTCGCCAATTCCTCAATTTTCTCTGCCTAGGAAGTTCTAGTATTTCCGTGTCGTTTACTGTAGACTGTTTGTTGTCCACGCTTCTATAACATGCACATTATAGGGGCCCTTAAAGGGGCTGGGTTGGCCCCTTTAAGGACATCAAACCCCGAGTCACAGCTCTGTGCTCCCACGTTAATAAGTTCTCTCCATGCTGACTTATATTCTGTTCCCTGTCTTGTGGGACCAACATTCTCAAAATCCACTGGCACATATATTATCTCGCTTCATGCAAGTACCTATGAGTCGGGTCCTACAGTGTCTTCTGAATGTAAGGCATTTCCCCTCCAAACCAAACTGTATTTTTTTTTTCTTGTGCTGTCATCTTACCTAGTCTTACCTACCCTTGTTATTAGTCCGATAGTAATGGAAGTTAGCAGAGATTAATGTTGAATAAGAGAAGCAACATCTGTTTGGGTGGCTGCCTTAGATGAGGTCTTTGCAGGGTCTCCAGGAACAAGGAAGCTTCTCCAGTAGCAAGAGTTACGGGACTGCTAATGCCCAGGTGAGCTTTCAGGGGATTCTGGGTATTCAGTGTTCTCATGCTCATCACCTTAGTGTGCCTCGGGGTTCCACTTTTTCTTTGTCAGATCCATACGTAAATATGGAGAACTGTAAATTCTGTGCATTCCATCTCCATGCATCTCTGCCAACCAACAATTACGGTCAGGGCCTGATGTTCCACCATCTGCCTTATGACCCCAGGAGAGGAGGTCTCCTTGATCCAGTAGGTTAGGGTGGGTGACAGGTTGGGCTATCCCATCAGACACACACACACCCATGACAGAGAACCAGTTTAGGGCCATCTCTGAGCCACCTTAAGAACTGCTCATGCTGGGAGGTATCTCAGAGTCTACACAGCCGGCCCCCCAAATCCGGCTGCACACCCCAAATGTGATCCTGGTTCAAGTGGAGAAGAGATGCATGTTCTAGGCATGTTGCCCTCTTCAGTGCATGCCTCAGGCATAAATGACACCCCAGGAGGGACCAGGTCCTCTCCCTTCACCCCAAACCAAGAGATACTCACAATCTCACAAGTATGGGAAAATCCAGGGCTCTGGTTTCACATATAGGCAATCAATCCATGATGCCGATAAATATTTCTCACTAAGAATGTGAAGTAGAGCATCACAGTCATCTTAGAAATTAGATTGTCACCTGGGTCCCAAGATTGTCATCTTCTTTCTATGGCACCTGAAATTTATCCTCAGATCAGAGTCTTAAACCACATCTTACTTGCTCTACTGACTCACAATGCTATGGATGGATGGATGGATGGATGGATGGATGGATGGATGGATGGATGAGATAGTGAAGAAAATATTAGAATGGAGAGCCAGATCTGACTATATGAGAAGGCTGAAGTTGAGTGATATATTTGATTCAGAGAGACACAGTGTTTATGGAAGAACTAAAGTGTGTTGTTCCAGTGTACAAGGTCCACGTAGAGCATGGAGATGGTGTGTTTCCAAGTACTTTTCAGGGCCATGAAGATGTCATTGTGGATTAGCCCAGGCAGAATGCCTCAGGAGTCATTGGTGTCTCTCAGGCAGAGCCCAAAGAAGGTTCTGGTGGGTCTGAAGCTTACACAATTTGGAAGGCCCTCTTCTAAAATGATGAAAACAAGCATGAAAGTGAGTGTTTATTTAGGATGAGAAGAAAATTCATAATAAACTTTAAAAGATGATGACTAAATCACTGAAATTCCAAAATAGTATGCACACGCACACGCGCGCACACACGTATGTATGTGTCTGTACATATATTATATATACATATTTAGAGACACCAACTATGTAGTTGTACAATCTAAAGTATGATGAAGCAGAAGTTCAAGGTGAAAGATACAATGGTTTTGTTGTGAATCAAAACAGCTAACTCTTACAAATTTTACACACACACATCTCATGGCCACATGAACACATAACGTGGGCCTGTGAGTGACAGTTGACTCCCTCTAAGAATAAAAATGCACTCAGGTTCATGTTAAGCCTTTAGTGTTTATTTTCACAACAAGTTTTAAAAGTAAACTAGCTTTTCTGACATTTTTTTTTTCCCCCTCAAAAAAAATCTTGTTTCGAGTTAGGATAACAATTCATGGGCTTCAGAATTTATCTTTTAGTTAGATGTGTTTCACTGTATTCTGACAACAGCCATATTTAGCCAAATGGAAGATTTTCTGTTGCCCATTTCTGAGTTCCCAGGTCCTCGTCCATCTACTATTGCTCAAGCAGCCTGGAGTGACCTACCAGCCTGCAATTATAACTGTTGGAACCTGTCAGGGCTAGTCAATGAATAAGTCAAAAGAGAAAGCTTGCTTGGTATGAGGCAAATGACTGTGTTTTAGGGGACACAGGTCCAGGACAAAGCGCACGCTTCCCTACAGTTTGTGTCACTTAGATGGGCTCCTAGCAGGGAGCTTGAGCTCCTAGGTCTAAAATAGCTAAACTGTGTGTATGATGACTCTCGTTGTCTTCCACATGGGGATAAACCACTCTGTGTAGAGCATCCAGTCAGTTAGGAAGACAGCCAGGAGCCTGTCTGTTTTAGGAAACCGCTTAGCCAGCGAACAAGAGCTACTTCCCTAAGTGGAATCTTAGGGAAGCGAAGAGTTAACCATCTCGCACAGGCTGACAAAATGTTTACTGCCCGCTGAGATTTCGTTCATCCACTTGTGGACGGCATGCAGATGACCCGTTGACTTTGGATTCCAGACTGCTTTTCCAAGAACCATTTGAAGGTAGTGACAATGTATAGAAAACATCTCTGCTGTTGGCTTCACCCCTCAGGGCTATTTTTCCAAACAAATAAGCATGGCAGATCAAATTCAGGAATTATCTCAAGAAGGAATCCAATCATTTACGCTGAGGCGTCGCAAAAAGGATGAGAAATCCACGTGAAGTTTCTGTGAGCATCTATCCTGGATTTCGAAAACGACTGTGGCTTAATGTCTGACACCAGGGGTCTTTGATGTGATAAAAGAATGCGCATCCTATATTGAAATATGAAGTACTGTCAAAAGCAACATTATGAAAACACCTGGACAGGTACACATCCAAGCAAGTAGAGGGAAGTACAACTGTTTGCAGTATTTTAACAAATTAGTTTGTGAAGCGTTTGGGAACCAGAAATGATGATGGCCGTGCTACCCATAGGTGCTAGAGATTGCTCCAAGATGAATCCAGCATGTTCCCGGGGTCTCAAATTTACAGAACATATTTACATGCCGTAGCGAATGGAAGGAATCACACATTTCATACAGACAGGGCAGTGAGAGGTCGCCCTGCTGAAGTGCGGGCACAGGAGGAGTTATTTAGCTTTGCCCCTTGTTGCTGATCCCTTTCTCATTTCCTTGAGGACATTTTTATCAAATAGCTCTTTTTCCCGGTAATGCACCGGTGGCCCCTGTAGGTACCTTTGTTCTGCCTCCTTGTAGCCTAATCCATCAAGTGCAGCAATTGAACAAATGATTGCTTCTGGCAGAAGAACTTCCAGAACAAAACTCACTTTGTCATCCCTTGTCAGAGTCAGCATTTTCTTGTCTATCTGTTTGTAGATTTCTTGTAAATGTCTCACCACCACATCCAACTGGTCTTCATCCTCCAGGTATGTTTCAATGCAGATCACGTACCTGCTTGAATTCAGAAATGATGCCAGCCACCTGGACTCTTTCCTGCCTTTGACAATGTCCAGAAGATGGTGATCAGCTCCCTTTCTTTTCACGATGAAGTCCACTAGCTTCTGGTTGGCTCGGTCCCGAGCAGCCCTCATGCGGTCAGGGAGAATTTTCTTGCAGGGCCTCTTCCCCCCGCCCAGGGAGGCCTCCTCCTCAGAATCTTCCAGGTCGGCATAATTCACCTTTGGGAAATCAATCTCCACATCCCCGTCTTGGATGGCTTTCCTAATTGGGTAACTGATGTCGGCAGCATAATAGTCCAGGAAAGAGCCTCCAAAAGACCCGCGACTGAGCCCTTCCCTGTAGTGGGAAATCAGGGAGAAACACCAGTTCACACTTTGCTCGTACACTTTCCTGGCTCTCTTCATCAGTTTTTCTTTCTCTTTACACTCCAGATGCTTTAATCTTCGAAGAGGAACTCGAATGCCACTCATTTCGCCGTGCATGTTTGCCTCAATCAAAAGCACCCTCGCAGTCTGCTCTGTTTGGCTGACACTCTTTACCACCGCTGGCCAAAATGGGTGATCCTGGAATTTGAACCAGACCATCATTCCTCCTTCAATGGGACGAGGCTCCTGTGGAAAAGCCATGCTTGTCGGTTGTCCCATTTCCTTGCTGACGTCCTTTTTAATAGCAGTGGTGGGGCTGATAGCCTTTGAGCTGACGGAAGGCTGAAGTCCTTGCAGCCCTTTCTCAAACTCTGGTACCTGCAGCTTCCTTTTTCTATTTGCCAGACGGAGTGAGTAACGCAGCTTCGGGTTAGGGGCACTGCAGGATGCTGCCACACCTTCCAAGCCTGGCTTCCAGGAACCCTCTCCGTGGTCCCCAACATTCCCGGAGAAGGCAGAGCATTCAGAGGAGACGGCCAGGGCCTTTGGGTCGGTGTCACGTGCCTCTTCTTTCAGAGCCTTGGGTACAGTGAGGTTGAACCCTGGTGGCAGAGATGGAAGGGCGCCTCCGTCTTTAGCACTTGTACCCTCCTCCTTGGCTGGGCGACGCAAGGGCCTAACTCTTGAGGCGTCCCTCTTTTCCTTGCCCTCTTCCTCATAATCTCCCTCTGAAAGTGACGGGAAGTTTGGGTACCTGCTGGAGCTTTGTGGGGACTCCCCTTGCATTTTCCTTGGAATAGGAGTGACGGTTCTGTGTGCCCGTGGTCGGCCACCGTCTGGGGCGTCCTCACTCTGTGAACGTACCAGCAGCGATTTGAGTTTTTTGCTTTTCCTGAGGCCCCTCAGTAAGTTCCCTTTGGGCTTCCGGTACTTTCTACGAGATCGCTTTTGTGGTCCCCTTTGGGACGGCTTAATGGTCTCTGGATCATCTGATGCTCTTGCTGGACCCAGATTTGCTCTCTCATTCAGAATCTCCAGTGCCACTGTAAGAGCGTTTCTGTAGGGCACTTCCCGTCCTGGTGGGACACTGGCCTCCGACTCGGCTGTTAGCAAGGAGGTAATGTATTCAATTTGAGACTCATTTAGGATCTTTATGTCTGTGCTTTTCACCTCAATTTTTTCATCTACGGAGAGTATCTCAACTTTTAGAGAAAGTGCCCCTTTCCTCTTATTTCTTGGTGAGATCCTAGATCTGGACAAAACCTTTGCTGGCCAAAAATGGCCTTTCCAATTGCACAGGACATACTCAGCATCCATGACGACTTGAGTTTCCTCTCAAGAGGTAATTAACAGAGGTCGCGAGGTCCGGCCATCATACCCACAGGCACGGCAGGTCTTCCCTAAAGCAATGTTGTTCACCACACCTCTTTGGCCTGGGACCACAAAGGGCTTACGGCTTGCATGGCCTGTCCTTCTTCACCTGAATCTCCCAGGGTCGCTGGAACTTGTGTTTTGAATGGACTATACTGGAGAATACTGGAATGTGGAAAAGGAAAAGAAGAAAAGTATTAGAAAAAAATTCCTTTTGCGAAAGTAGAAGAACATTGGTCGATGAGGATTGATAAGAGATAAAACAAAGAAATATAAAGAGTGTGTATCAGACAGGGGGTAAATACATGGCAAGTATCGGGGCGGGGGGCGGGGGCCGGGAAATGCAGAAGAAGATACCAGAGGAATTTTATTACTTTCCAAACCCAACTTCTTGCCCTGCTTGTTACTCCTGCAATATTAAAGAGCATCTGTGTGGGGAGGTGGGTGTCATTTTCCAGATCTCATTTGTGTTATTGGACATCCTGTGCCTTTGGGGCTCTCTGGGGCTCATCCTGGGGGAGTGCTTCAGCTCTCATTTTTCTGGGGGTGCCGATGCCACCCTGTGCCACCCAAGGAAGCCAGAGGCGATCTCCAGCCTACAGACACTGAATGTCAGCACAGTGTTGTGTTCAAGAGCGTGAGCTTAGAACCCAGAGGCTCACGAAGGTCATCATGGTGGTTACTGGTACCATCCTTCATAAGGATTGCTGCAGGCGTGGGCCATTGGCTGTGACCTGCCCTTTTTCATTTCTCTGTGGTGGCTTAAAAGGCTGTTTCCCCTGCCCCCAGCACATATTTGTGTAAAGAAGTGGCTGTAGAGTGAGGAGCAAGATAAACCACACTCCCCAAGTGTCCTCACGAAGTGATTGCAAATGAAATGTTTAGTAAAACAGGAACGTCTTACAGAACACCACGTGGGTCGGGGGAGGCGAGGTTCTGTGAGCTGCATCTGTTGATTCACACACTCCCAACTGCTTGTCCGGCAGACCCTTTACCTCTGCTCTGTGCTTCTGAAGTGCACTGTCCTTCCAGGGATCAAATGACAGCAAATGTAGATACCCAGGACCTCCTACGTACCTCTAATGTCAATCTAGAAAATCAGAAAAGCAGACGGGAAATTAAGCCAATGAGACGGGGATGGATTCATCCTTTTCCCTTCCCCAACTCTGGAATGTAGCCCATTCTGAAACAGAAATGTTAGTTAAGTCTCATTTATAATGTAGACACGTCTATTTGCTTCCTTCTTTTTGCGTTTCAAAACTATTTCCACGTTAAGCTACTTAGTTTAGGCTAGTCCTCCTATTTCAGAACCGTGGGAACCACTGCTTTCATCATAGTCTTTTTTTGTCTGTCTTGGACGCATAGATTTAATAGTAGCAGCTTGTGTGTGTGTGTGTGTGTGTGTGTGTGTAACAAAAATGGGGTCTGCAAGTGTGTTTTGGTGTTTCTCAAGTAACATTAAATGGGTTTGTGGAGAACATAAAACGGGTAGAGAGAGATATATAGGAGGCAATACATTAAAGATGCTTACTGTCAGTATGATGGTACGTGGGCTCGTCACACACTTGCGACGCATCCGTATACACATGCCCGCACATATTACCGAGGACTACATTTCTTCACTCAAGAGCATATGTGATCACTGTTTCATGTGAATGCTGATTTTTCACATCGTTTTTGTGAATCTCTTTACGATGTGGTTTCTCTGACATTTAAAAACTTTACTTAAATACATTTCAAACATTTAGATGTGTGTAGTGCAGAAAGTGCAATTGGTCTCTCAATCCCTCTCCCCACCCCCTCCCCAAGAAATACCCTGTGAATGGGTTCGACTTCTCTGTATACACTGTTCAAATATGTATTATAGTTCACTTACAGCTTTTAGCTCATCCATTATCAGTTTCAAATGGTATGTTTCACAGTACAAAATATTATTTCCCTAATAAATGCATGTATGCACAGCTCTGTTCACACATACTCATAGGTATAATATGAAATGTATGATGACTAACTATACCTACTTTGGGCATAGCCTGCACAAACTTTTTCTTGCCAGAGTGTATGATCAGGCAGGTAACTGCGTCCTCTGCTTTAGAGAACTCAGTGTGCTGGCTCTCAGAACACAGGTGTGATGTGAGGACACAGAACAAAAGGGAGAAGGAAAAACAGGTGATTCAGCCAACTGCAGTCTCCCTGCAGCAGGACCTGCCGGTCCCTCATACAGAACAGGAGTGCCTGAGTCACCTCAACTCCAACCAGATAGCTGCCCATCCCCAAGACACACATACATACACACACACTCACAGATATATACACACACCCAGAGCGATGACGTTAGAGACCCAAGATGCCTGATACCGGTGCATATAATCCATGCTTTCTGCTCTACACACGCATGCAAATGTTTCTGCTTCCAGTGCAGATGTTGTTTTCAGCTCCTTTCAGTTCCTTGGTTTGAAAATACACGCGGAAAATCTAAAATGCTGTTTAAAGCTATAAAGTAGGGAAAATGTTAAGCATCAGTAATCTGACCACCTAGGAGGAATGTTAACTGCAAATATGTGGGTCCACAGACTCCAGCATTTTTTATTCTGTTTATACATATTTTCTATAAGATATTAAAAAGGTTTTAAAGCCATACCACCGATTTGAATATTCTCTCCTATTCACATTTGCGTACATCTGTTCGATTTGAATATTCTCTCCTATTCACATTTGCGTACATCTGTTCAACTATGAAACACTTTAATGGAGTAACTTCCAGCGGACGGCCAAAATATCAATGGCAGTTACTTCTTCCGATTACCAAAGCAATGCATCCTTGAGAGAGGCGATCAGAAGGGAAGGGTGTTAAATGAAAATATTAAATCCCCAATGGCCTTCTCACCATATGCTTTGGCCCCTTGTCCAAACAGCTTCCATTAAGGGTTGGTACCTAATATTGCAGATGATTTTCTTTTTATCTTTCGTACTAACAAGAGCACAGCTCTCTTCTTTCCCTCTAAAGATGCATACAGGTGGATGTATAGACAGGCAGATGACAGATAGATAGAGATAATGATATGTAAATGTTGATCCTCTTTTGCACACCAGGAACAATGTCTTAAAAAATAGAACCTTGAATGACACTAAAGTAACTTTTAAAGTAACCCCCAATCCTCAGAGGGCTTGGATATGAAAATGTACCCAGTAACCTAGTCGGCGCTCAACAAGTATTTGCTGAATGAATGGGATAGGGAGCTTTTCACCTTATTCTTACGTGAAAACTCCATCTGACCCCAAGTTGTTCTGGTCTTGGTCACATAATAACAACTTTAATTTTGTAATAAAATCTCAAGGCTCAATTTCGTCATGAGGATGCCCAGTCTCAGGCAATAATTAAAATCCTAGCTCGGTGGGCGCCTGGGTGGCTCAGTCAGTTGGGCATCTGCCTTCAGCTCGGGTCATGACCCCAGGATCCTGGGATGGAGTCCCGCATCGGGCTCCCTGCTCGGCCGGCGAGACTGCTTCTCCCTCTCCTTCTGCCCCTCCCACCCCCCGCTTGTGCTCTCTCTCTCTCTCAAATGAATAAATATTAAAACGAAAAACCAGAAGGGGAATGGTATAAATAGCAACTCCGCAATCTATAACTTCACAGTCAATTCCAGACCATCAAGAAATGGAACCCTCAGATGGATCAGCTTCAACTTTTAAGTCCTGGTATAACTTTTGTTCTATTCCATTTGCTCTTTGGTTAAGGAATGAAAGAGCTTTTACAATAAAATCCACCGGCCCATCTTGCATGGAACGGCTCTTTTGTAATGCTTCTAAAATAGACCTATTTTCTTCAGCCGCATATGTGTGTGAGGCAACATATTCTTCATATACTTCAAACAAACCAACAAAATTTAACAGACTGAATGAGGAAGCAGATGGAATACAGCTATCTTCTATGAAGCCAGACATTAACAAGACTTGCAAAAGTGTAAAACAATGCCACTCCTCTTACAACATTTTAAAATTTTTTGAATATAGTTATTTTCTTTTTTTAATATCACTACCAATCTCATTAGAATATAGTTATTTTCATAAAAATGTTATTATGTTCACATATAATGATTTTATTTTAAATGAATTAATAAAAATTTGAAAATTAAAAAAAATGAATGAAAGAACTTGATGGCAATGAGTATTTATTTCTCCAATCAACGGCCATGAGTTTTGGAAGAATTATTTTGGAAGCTTTATTCCTTAACTCTTTTCCCCAGTGAGGGCTGTAATCATTTCCAAAGAAAGAAGAAGACAATACTCTGAAGGTATTGTCTCAAAATAAGGGCAATTTCCCTGATATGACTCCCGTACCGCCCCCCCCCCACTCCCCAGAGGCAGGAGTTCTCTCATCTTTACCCCAACACCCCTTCATCCCTTCCCTACAA